AACAAATGAGTAAGAGTAGCAATCAGCAAACTACTTAAAAACAACCCCACCTCAATCCCCCTGCCTCTGAATTTGTCATATCATTTCCACCCCCACCCCACTTCATTGTAAGACTACAATCATGGTTTCAATCTCCTCATCAGGATCCCACTCATGAATATGCCTACAACATTCAGTGGAAGCCTGTCAATAATCTGTTGATTCCCAAAGGCAATGGTGCTCTCCCATCCTCCCCATTACGATCTCTGCAATTTCTGCAGCTCTCCACACAGTTGACTCCTGTCCACTCCTTTGGGAGTTGAGACTCCTCCCTTGAATTCCATACCACACCTTGCTTTGCCAGAGCTCTTCTGCAGGTGGGACCAAGCTGCTGTTTGTGCTCAGACTGCCATTTGGATGCCTACTCCAAAGTCGGTTCCTCCAAAGACCTGTCTCTCCGTTTAAGCTAACACTTTCTCTCTTTTACACCAAGATTTCAAGTATCCCATGCATTGGGTCTTCCGTCAGATTTATTGACCCTACTCCAAGCTTCCTATTCCTGTCAAATCTCAATCTTCCAAGGTCTGTGTGCCAATCACATTGACAGGCTCTGTCAGGATCTCAAGTCAAAGTCTTCAGTTTTCTTCCCACTCAACTTCTTTTGGTTTTGCATATTATCATTTATCTTAGCCTTTCCATCTTGCAACATCAAGGCCATCTTCTTCTAAGGTCCCAGCCCACTGTTAACCAATTTATAGGATTTCAAGTCTTATAATCATTATTCCACCCACCTCTTGGTTTTAACTTTTACCATTACCACCTTAGTTTATGAATGCTACAAAAGATTACTACCTGTGCTCTCCTGTTCTAGAATGTTCCTGCTATAAGCCATCCCTAAAATGAAGCCATACCCTAAAATGCTTCAGGGTAAACTCCCTGAAAGTAAATCTGTGTCTCTCGTGTGCTAACATCACCCATGATTCCAGTCAATGGATGTCCATAACCCTCCATAACTTGGTCTGACCAATGTCTCATTATTCTTCTTCATGAATGCTATGAACCTACCGTTAACTCACCACCATTAGTATGGTCATGGTTTAATTTAAAGGCTTCTTACAAAAGATTCACTCAGCAAAGTGTCCCTAAAAATGCAGGTCCCTAGAGCTAACTCAAGACCCACTAAATCTGGATCCTCAGCGTTGAGTTCCAAGAGCATGGAACAAGCTAACAAGGTGGGTCCTTAGGCACCTTGAACTTTCAGAACCTCTGTCTACTCCGTGTCCATTTCCCTCTTCCAGACTTTGTTTACTTGGAATGATTTCCCACCTCTGCTCTCCAATGCGCCAAAAAACCTTATTTATATATGAAAGATTTTCTCATCTTCCCTTCAGGAAGCATGCTATGCTTCTCATATGCTTCTAAGATGGCATATACCATATATTACCTTGGATTTTACTGATTTAACACCCCCTTAGATTTTAAGCCTCTTGTATATTATACATATTTATATCTCCAATACTGTGTGGCAATTAATCGAATAGTACATATTACTATTACATTAATAATTATTATTCTACTTCATCATATTTCTGTTTTGTTTGAATCCTTGTTTTAGCTGAGTTATGAGTTAGTAGTACTGCAATGGTCCACCTGGTTTAGCCAAGACTGCATTTAGGGTTAATTGTGTCCACCCCACAGGAGCACAAACATTATCCCAGAATGTGGTTGATGGAGACAACAAGATGGAATCATCAAGAAGAGCAATGGTACAGGAGAGATTATTTGTCAGGTTCTTCCATTTCTCTGGGCCAGGCTCAGTTCATATCAATGGCCCTTCTTTGTAGGCTATGGTTTTGTATCTTCCCATGACCTGTTTCTCCATCTTGCCATACTGCACAATTAGATTTCAAATGGGAGCATAAAGAATTATACCCTTATCCTCCAAGAATTCTGGATTTAAATCTTTCCAACTCCGGG